AAACAGAAAAAAAAATTAACGACCAACAAAAGCTTAAAAGGAAAAAGTTAATTTGTTACACTTTCAATTTGGAAAACTTGAAATGTAATACTTAGCAGCAGCTATAATAGTAGTAGCAAAAACAAAAATTAGAAAACAAACAGCAAACAGTTTAAAACAAACAAAACACTTGAAATAAAGTTAATTTAGAAAAAATAGCTAAAAATACAAGTAGAATGAGGGTATGAAAAACTGGGTGCAAATTAAATGGGTGATATAAACTGACCATTGAAGACACTACTACCAGGAAATATGTATAGATTTCGCTAAAGACTAAATAGTCAAATTAATAGTAAAAACAATAAAAGCATAATTCTGTAGTCAAAATAATTAACAAGTTGAAGTTTGTTTATGAGTCAAAACTATAGACATATGACTGTTACCTTCAGTAGGGTATTTTGACAAATATACTAAGTTCACTTTTCATTCGTAAAAGCATTGAAGCTTTTAAACAGACACCCCCCCCCATTTCGAGGAGGAGAAATACAAAACGAAAACAATTTGGTGGCTCATTAAAATTAGCAACAAACAGCGCGGTCAAGCGTGTTGCTGTTACCTTTAAAGGTGGAGGGCTAGAAAAATATGTAAAATACAACAAACTTAAAACAATAGAAAAACTCAAGAAAATCTTTATAACGACTCCATTAAAACACTTAAAAAAAATAGAAAAAAAAATCTTCTTTGTTCAAGTTGCCCATCACAGCGTATGGTTTGCTGTGATGATGTAAAACAAATGAAAGTAAAGAAGACAAACAACTCCCTTGTGAATTGTTTTGAAAAAAGAAAAAAATAATGAAATGAAAATAACACAACAGAAAACAAATAAATTTCAAACAAACAAACGATCGACCACTTATTTTGACCACATTGTTGTGTTGTTGCTGCTGCTTTTACTCTTACCTCAAAACTACCACTCGTACTACTGTTCCAGTTATCGTTTGTGGCACAGCAATGCTGGTGTTTAACTTATGAAGAAATTTATGTTTAAATAGAAATATTTTTGAAAGTCAAAACAACTACACTATAGACTAGGCTATAGGCTAGAGTATAAACTAGACTATAGAGTAGATTATAGACTAGACTACAAACTAGACAATAGACTAGGCCAGGCTATAGACTAGACTATATGCTAGACTATAGGTTAGACTATAGACTAGACTACAGACTAGACTACAGACTAGACTATAGACTAGACTATAGACTAGACTATAGACTAGACAATAGACTAGTCTTTAGACCAGACTATAGACTAGACTAGACTATAGACTAGACTACAGACCAGACTAGACTATAGACTAGACTATATATATAGACTATATATATATATATAGACTATAGACTAGACTATAGACTAGACTAGACTAGACTAGACTAGACTATAGACTAGACTATAGACTAGACTATAGACTAGACTATAGACTAGACTATAGACTAGACTATAGACTAGACTATAGACTAGACTATAGACTAGACTATAGACTAGACTATAGACTAGACTATAGACTAGACTATAGACTAGACATAGACTAGAATATAGACTAGACTATAGACTAGACTATAGACTAGACTATAGACTAGACTATAGACTAGACTATAGACTAGACTATAGACTAGACTATAGACTAGACTATAGACTAGACTATAGACTACTAGACTATAGACTAGACTATAGACTAGACTATAGACTAGACTATAGACTAGACTATAGACTAGGCTATAGACTAGACTATAGACTAGGCTATAGACTAGACTATAGACTAGACAATAGACTAGAATATAGACTAGACTATAGACTAGACTATAGACTAGAATATAGACTAGACTATAGACTAGACTATAGACTAGACTATAGACTAGACTATAGACTAGACTATAGACTAGACTATAGACTAGACTATAGACTAGACTATAGACTAGACTATAGACTAGACTATAGACTAGACTATAGACTAGACTATAGACTAGACTATAGACTAGACTATAGACTAGACTATAGACTAGACTATAGACTAGACTATAGACTAGACTATAGACTAGACTATAGACTAGACTATAGACTAGACTATAGACTAGACTATAGACTAGACTATAGACTAGACTATAGACTAGACTATAGACTAGACTATAGACTAGACTATAGACTAGACTAGACTATAGACTAGACTATAGACTAGACTATAGACTAGACTATAGACTAGACTATAGACTAGACTATAGACTAGACTATAGACTAGACTATAGACTAGACTATAGACTAGACTATAGACTAGACTATAGACTAGACTATAGACTAGACTATAGACTAGACTATAGACTAGACTATAGACTAGACTATAGACTAGACTATAGACTAGACTATAGACTAGACTATAGACTAGACTATAGACTAGACTATAGACTAGACTATAGACTAGACTATAGACTAGACTATAGACTAGACTATAGACTAGACTATAGACTAGACTATAGACTAGACTATAGACTAGACTATAGACTAGACTATAGACTAGACTATAGACTAGACTATAGACTAGACTATAGACTAGACTATAGACTAGACTATAGACTAGACTATAGACTAGACTATAGACTAGACTATAGACTAGACTATAGACTAGACTATAGACTAGACTATAGACTAGACTATAGACTAGACTATAGACTAGACTATAGACTAGACTATAGACTAGACTATAGACTAGACTATAGACTAGACTATAGACTAGACTATAGACTAGACTATAGACTAGACTATAGACTAGACTATAGACTAGACTATAGACTAGACTATAGACTAGACTATGACTAGACTATAGACTAGACTATAGACTAGACTATAGACTAGACTATAGACTAGACTATAGACTAGACTATAGACTAGACTATAGACTAGACTATAGACAGACCTATAGACTAGACTATAGACTAGACTATAGACTAGACTATAGACTAGACTATAGACTAGACTATAGACTAGACTATAGACTAGACTATAGACTAGACTATAGACTAGACTATAGACTAGACTATAGACTAGACTATAGACTAGACTATAGACTAGACTATAGACTAGACTATAGACTAGACTATAGACTAGACTATAGACTAGACTATAGACTGACTATAGACAGACTATAGACTAGACTATAGACTAGACTATAGACTAGACTATAGACTAGACTATAGACTAGACTATAGACTAGACTATAGACTAGACTATAGACTAGACTATAGACTAGACTATAGACATAGACTATAGACTAGACTATAGACTAGACTATAGATAGACTAATAACAAAAGAAGACTATAGACTAGACTAGATAAGACATAGACTAGACTATAGATAGACTAGAATAGACTAGACTAGATAACTATAGACTAAGACTATATGACTAGACTATAGACTAGACTTAGACTAGACTATAGATAACTTGGAAGACTATAGAAATAGACTAGACTATAGACTAGACTATAGACTAAGACTATAGACTAGAACTATAGAGCTAGACTATAGATGACTAACTAGACTATAGCTAGACTATAGACTAGACTATGACTAGATATAGACCTAGACTAGCATAACTAGACTATAATGCTTAAATATGGGCTATAGATAGATATGACATATATAGGGAAAACTCTAGCCTTGACTTAGATTATATACTGGATTTTAGGACAAGACTTATTGGCTAGGCTATAGAGACAATAGACTAGACTATTTTCTAGACTACACTACGGACTAGACTATAGATTGTTGACTACAGACCATACTATATTCGGACTATAAGCAAGACTATATAGGCTATAGTTAAGACGTTTGACCAGTTTATAGACCAAATAATAAACTAAATTATAGCTCAAATTGTATACTACGAATCAGGATATAGACCGGACCAGTCTATAGTATTTAAGTCTATAATTAATATTTTGGACCAGGGTATGGCCAATATTGTAGACAATATACTATAGTATACCGTGGACTATGGACATACTATATTCGGACAATAGACTATAGGTTTGTCTATAGTCAAGATAGGTTGCCTAAGGTCTCGACTATATTTTAATATCTTTCAGTAGTGCATTTTTTTTTTAACTTTGGGAAAATAAATTCCTTAATTTTTTGCTGCCCATTGGTCATTTTACGTAGCATTGAGTTTTGCCTCAAACAACAGCAATTGTAACAACAATTGTTTTATTATTCAACTTTTGTGTTGCTAAAAATATTCCATAAATGATGGTATACCCCTTTTAACAAGCACATTTTTTCCAAATTGTTTTCATGGGGAAGTTAAAAGTAATAAAACCATAAATGATTTTTGTTGGCAAAAAGGATATTCTTATTATTCAAGTTTGCTGGAAATACACAATGGACTAAGAAAATATATATTTAGTAAAAAGCATGCAAATTTTAGGAACTACATATTTACTCTTCTTAGATACTCCTCTTCCAAAATGGGCCTGCAATTATAATCGTAGGAAAAGGTATTTTGAACACTTCTTTTATAATCAAATCGTTGCCATAGTGCACTTTCACTACCTTTAAGTTAAATTTTATACACAAGAATTTCTATTTCTGTTCTATAACAAATATTTACACTTGCCAATGGCCGGCCTTGCAGGTTGAGGCCACAATTTTTCCATTGTTAAATCACTGGAAAACTGTAGAAACAATTCCTGTATATCATACATACATATGTACACAAGTATGAATCTAAATGCAAATTTCACATCTTTACAAATCATTTTCAAAAATATGGAGAAACCTAATTTTATTTACGTTTTGGTAGCATAAAATCAATGCAGCAATATTGAGCAATATTGCATAGTTTTCTGAAAAAAGATTAATTTTAAATTGCAAAAATATCATATGCACAATTTTGTTTACAATGTTCTAAAAGAAATTCTTTCATTCCTTTACACTTCACTGTGTGTTTATTTTATGTAAAAGTAATTTACTTACCCAAGTGCTACAATTTTGTTAAATAGTAATCTGAAAGAAAGGGAAAATAAATTATTTTAACTATTGATTTCAACAAAAGGAATACAATACATATGTATATATAGATCTAATAATAGATCAGAATATGAACATGACATACCTAGACCAAAATAATGACTAGAATAGGCTATAGACTAGACTGTAAACTAGTCCAGGCTAGACTAGACCAGGTTAGACTATAGCCTAGCTTAGCATATTCTACAGACTAGACTATAGTTTATGCACTAGACTATAGTCTACATATTAGCCTATAGACTAGACTATATATTAGATTATAATTAGACTATATATATGTAGACTGTACCATAGACTAGTTTGTGGTCTCGTCTATAGACTAGTATATAGTCTAGGCTTTAGTCTAGTCTATAGTCTTGTCTATAGTATAATTTATAGTCTAGGCCTTAGTATAGTCTATAGTCCAGGCCGTAGCCTAGTTTTTGGCCTAGTCTATATTCTGGTCTATAGTCCAGTCTATAGTCTAATCTATAGAATAGTGTATAGTATAGTCTATAGCCTAGAGTATACTTTAGACTATAGTCTATAGCCTATAGTCTATAGCCTATAGTCTAGTCTATAGTCTAGTCTATAGTCTAGTCTATAGTCTAGTCTATAGTCTAGTCTATAGTCTAGTCTATAGTCTAGTCTATAGTCTAGTCTATAGTCTAGTCTATAGTCTAGTCTATGGTCCAGTTTATAGTCTAGTCTATAGTCTAGTCTATAGTCTAGTCTATGGTCTAGTCTATAGTCTAGTCTATGGTCTAGTCTATAGTCTAGTCTGTAGTCTAGTCTATAGTCTCGTCTATAGTCTAGTCTATAGTCTAGTCTATAGTCTAGTCTATAGTCTAGTCTATAGTCTATAGTCTAGTCTATAGTCTAGTCTATAGTCTAGTCTATAGTCTAGTCTATAGTCTAGTCTATAGTCTAGTCTATAGTCTAGTCTATAGTCTAGTCTATAGTCTAGTCTATAGTCTAGTCTATAGTCTAGTCTATAGTCTAGTCTATAGTCTAGTCTATAGTCTAGTCTATAGTCTAGTCTATAGTCTAGTCTATAGTCTAGTCTATAGTCTAGTCTATAGTCTAGTCTATAGTCTAGTCTATAGTCTAGTCTATAGTCTAGTCTATAGTCTAGTCCTATAGTCTAGTCTATAGTCTAGTCTATAGTCTAGTCTATAGTCTGTCATAGTCTAGTCTAGGCTATAGTCTAGTCTATAGTCTAGTCTATAGTCTAGTCTAGTCGAGTCTAGTCTAGTCTATAGTCTAGTCTATAGTCTAGTCTATAGTCTAGTTCTTAGTCTAGTCTATAGTCTAGTCTATAGTCTAGTCTATAGTCTAGTCTATAGTCTAGTCTATAGTCTAGTCTATAGTCTAGTCTATAGTCTAGTCTATAGTCTAGTCTATAGTCTAGTCTATAGTCTAGTCTATAGTCTAGTCTATAATCTAGTCTATAGTCTAGTCTATAGTCTAGTCTATAGTCTAGTCTATAGTCTAGTCTATAGTCTAGTCTATAGTCTAGTCTATAGTCTAGTCTATAGTCTAGTCTATAGTCTAGTCTATAGTCTAGTCTATAGTCTAGTCTATAGTCTAGTCTATAGTCTAGTCTATAGTCTAGTCTATAGTCTAGTCTATAGTCTAGTCTATAGTCTAGTCTATAGTCTAGTCTATAGTCTAGTCTATAGTCTAGTCTATAGTCTAGTCTAGTCTATAGTCTAGTCTATAGTCTAGTCTATAGTCTAGTCTATAGTCTAGTCTATAGTCTAGTCTATAGTCTAGTCTATAGTCTAGTCTATAGTCTAGTCTATAGTCTAGTCTTATCTAGATCTAGTCTATAGTCTAGTCTATAGTCTAGTCTATAGTCTAGTCTATAGTCTAGTCTATAGGTCTAGTCTATAGGTCTAGTCTATAGTCTAGTCTATAGTCTAGTCTATAGTCTAGTCTATAGTCTAGTCTATAGTCTAGTCTATAGTCTAGTCTATAGTCTAGTCTATAGTCTAGTCTATAGGTCTAGTCTATAGTCTAGTCTATAGTCTAGTCTATGGTCTAGCTATAGTCTAGTCTATAGTCTAGTCTATGTCTAGTCTATAGTCTAGTCTATAGTCTAGTCTATAGTCTAGTCTATAGTCTAGTCTATAGTCTAGTCTATAGTCTAGTCTATAGTCTAGTCTATAGTCTAGTCTATAGTCTAGTCTATAGTCTAGTCTATAGTCTAGTCTATAGTCTAGTCTAGTCTATAGTCTAGTCTATAGTCTAGTCTATAGTCTAGTCTATAGTCTAGTCTATAGTCTAGTCTATAGTCTAGTCTATAGTCTAGTCTATAGTCTAGTCTATAGTCTAGTCTATAGTCTAGTCTATAGTCTAGTCTATAGTCTAGTCTATAGTCTAGTCTATAGTCTAGTCTATAGTCTAGTCTATAGTCTAGTCTATAGTCTAGTCTATAGTCTAGTCTATAGTCTAGTCTATAGTCTAGTCTATAGTCTAGTCTAGTCTAGTCTAGTCTAGTCTAGTCTATAGTCTAGTCTATAGTCTAGTCTATAGTCTAGTATATAGTCTAGTATATAGTCTGGTCTATAGTCTGGTCTATAGTCTAGTCTATAGTCTAGTCTATAGTCTAGTATATAGTCTAGTCTATAGTCTAGTCTATAGTCTAGTCTATAGTCTAGTCTATAGTCTAGTCTATAGTCTAGTCTATAGTCTAGTCTATAGTCTAGTCTATAGTCTAGTCTATAGTCTAGTCTAGTCTAGTCTAGTCTATAGTCTAGTCTGTAGTCTAGTCTATAGTCTAGTCTATAGTCTAGTCTATAGCCTATAATATAGACTAGTCTATATTCTAGCCTATAGTCTATTCTATAGTCTAGTCTCTAGCCTAGTCTAGTCTAGACTATAGACTAGACTATAGACTATACTGAGGCTTAGGCTATAATCTAGTCTAGTCTATAGTCTAGTATGGTTTAGTTCATAATCTGTAATCTATAGTCTATAGTCTAGTCTAGTCTAGTCTAGTCTAGTCTAGTCTAGTCTAGTCTAGTTTAATCTAGTCTAGTTTAGTCTGGTCTAGTCTAGTCTAGACTATAGTCTAGTCTTTAGTCTAGTATATAGTCTAGCCTATACTGTAGTCTATAGTCTAAAACTTTTACAATTCCTAAGAATACAACAACAACAAATTCCTTTAAATCCCTGATTCATTTATTCATTCATCCAGTTTTTTCTCACTTAATATTCCGACATTTATTTGACATGCAACAATCATCACTATCGTATCGCGTGCATCACTTGTTGTTGATCATTTTCATTATCAATAACGTTGTTGTGTCTTTCTTAATGCAATCGTGAATTAGAATTGGGCAGGCAAACAGACCGACTCACTTCATCGCTCCAATAAACGTGCAATTGCATTCTCTTCTCAAAAACCGAAAACAAGCCCTTTCACAAACCCCAACTTTTTAAAATAACTTCGTTCTGTCAGTCCGCATTAAAATGATCTTATAACTATCAAAGCATCTGTCTATTTATCTAACAATTCGCTTCGTTCGTTCGTTGGTCTGTCACTTAAACTGTAAAAACTTTTACATTTCTCCTATCGCACTCTTCGGCTCTATTGCTTACATATATAATTTTGCATGTCGAAGTCACATTTCTGATATTAAGTTTAAAAGTTTAAGTGGTTGTTTTTTTTTCAATGCTCTTGTATCGTTAAAGTGTTATGGTTGCTGTAGTTATTGGTCTTCCCAAGTACTTTGTTGGACTACTTCCTCAACTCTACTCAAATCATTGATGTCTTGTTGTATCAACAATAACAAAAACAACAACCACAACAGTAATTTGACACCGTGACGCCATACGATCATCATCACAACAAATAAGTTTAAAAAAAAATATATATTTCAAAAAATCCACCAATGAATGGTTTGGTTAGATCTGTGTACAAGTACGAGAGCACTATTTACGTCTGCAGTGAATGAACGAACGATCAACGTTTGTAAAGCACGTGATATGATCACGTTTTAATTTTATTTTAAATATCATGTTTTTCTCCTTTTTATCTTTATTTTATTGTTGTAGTTTTTATTTGTTGCTTTTCCTACATTATTATAATTTTATTTTAAACTTTTATTTAACAAATCACTCATATGAACCGAGTTACAGTTAGCCATTCGCTAGTAATATTAATTTTTCTGTTAGTAGGAGAGACAAAAAGCTTGTTGAGTCATTTTTTTTTGTAAACTGTAGAAACAGTTTAATGTGTCCAAGTTTGCATTCAAACATCTGGGTGTACTCATTAGACCAGAAAAATGAAGTTGAAATCATTTTCATTTTTGTTAAAACGAAAATCTAGTCGGTGTGAAAAAGAGGAAAATTTACACTCTTTTAGTGGCTTTTAGATAATAAATTAAAAAAAAAAAAGAAAACAATAACACTTCCTCTTTTAGGTTCAGAGGTGAAGGGGAAAGTTTTTTCATTGAGGAACAAATTGAATACAAATTTTTATCACCACTAAATTAAAGATACATTTTTATGTATGTTGGATCAAGAGGAGAGAATAGTTACTGAAGTATTGCAAAAGTCTACAGTCTGCAACATAACTATAGTCCAGTCTATTGTTTGTATTATAGTACAAACTTTAGTCTGGCCCTGGCTATAGTCTAGACTGTAGTCCAAATTATACATACATAGACCAAACTAGACTGTAGACTTGACTATAGTCCAGACTATAGACAAGACTATAGACAAGACTATAGTCCAGAGTATACTCTATACTATAGTACAGATAATAGACCAAACTGAAGGCCAGACTATAGATTAGAATTTAGTACAGACAATAGACTATACTATAGTCCCGACTTTAGACTGGACTAAAGGACTATAAACTATACTAAAAGAATACAGACTAGACTAAAGTCCAGACTATAGTATAATAGTGCAAGCGTACAATATAGTCCTTACTATAGAATATACTATAGTCTTGACTAGACTATAGTCCAGACTATAGACTAGAC